CAAATACTAATGCATGAAAATCCTAACCTCAAAAAAATCACCCGTTACATACACTACATCTCCTTTGGGCCACTCTACTCACAATTGTTGTTTGCGAAGATGAACAAACATCGTAGCTTGTCAAATCGCACACATAACCCTGCGGACAGGAGTCAATCGAACTTGGCGCTGGTGTCTGCCCATCGAAGCACAGGGCATAAGTGTCCACATCCAGGCAGGCGAAATTCCTCTGAACGGATGTGCAAGTTCCACATTGATCCTCATAGCAAACGGGCAAAGCACCTTGAGCGGTTGTCAAACAAATTGCTTGCTCGGCTGTGCAAACAGCTGCCGCTGGACATGGTGTACTCACAGCGGTTGGTATATTATCAATGCAAACAGCAAAGGTTTGTTCATCCAAACAAGCGACTCCATTTGAAAAGCACTCACTACAACGACCGGTGAGTGCCGCGATAAGAGCGCGTTCACGACTGCTGAGCGCGAGTAGCTAAGAATGATCGAAAATATGTACAAAGTACAATAAAAACTTTTCGATTTCATTGCAAATTTAGTGACGTGCTCGAATTCAAGCCAAGTTGATAAAATAATTGAAAATCAATTTCTTTTCGCTTAATTTTAATTAAGTATTTATGTATACAACTTACGTTTACAATCACAATAACAACAAGTCGCTTGGCGTTACACATTTTTGCTAGACACACTCACGTCGACCAAAAAATTATATGCTCTTGGCTGCACGCTAGTTTTCTATCTGTTTTGCCATTTTCGAAGATGATTCGATATTTGGCAATGCCAACAGGTAATCATTTTCGTTCAATCTTTTCACAGGTTTCTTTGTTAGTTTACTTTGTCGATAATATCGTAAAATTCATTTTTACTCAGCGATATTAGTAGGGTTGTAAAGATAAGAGTTTATTTGAAAACACTGGTGATAGTTTTTGCGCTTTGTAGTACGTCATTCGTACTTTTTGTTTTTGATGTATAATGTTTACTTTTCGCTGACAAACTTCCGGGCGGGAGAAAACTGCCACACTTTGAATGCTCAAAATAAATCGTAAAAGTTTACTTAACTCGCATGTGAAAATAAACATATAAATTCAAAACTCGTTTACATAGTTTGAGTTTCTTTTATTGTTTGTATCTATTACGTTCTGTTGAGGACTTCTTACATTTTGGCTCATTCAATATTAGCAATATGCAAATATAGCGTTCTCAAACTACGTTTTAAATATTTGCATAGTATGTAGCTCTACATACTTATGTACATATGTATGTATGTATGTATAAGGTCTTTAGCGGTTTTAAATAAAGAGAAGACATTTTACTTTTTTAACAACTAAGAATATAAAATTTATTACTTGCAAAAAGTCCATTAACCTAGTAACCTATTTTTTTTAATAATAACGAGCTGCTATATTTTTTGCTCTCAGCGCACACTTTTAGCATTTACCAAATAATTTTTCTAAAAAGATAAACATCATAAACAACGCTAGTTCAAAGTAGTAACAACGTATGCAGAAAATATCACTTAAACAACAAAAATGTTCATTCTACAGCTGCCGTTTGCTATTTACCCGTTAAAAGAAGAATCAGAGTAGATTTATGGATTTATGGATGTTTGCAAGTGCATATTTTTCTATGGAGTGACAAGGTGTTCTTTAAACAACGTTTACCTAATTTTCAAAAGGATTATGTATGTATACCCCTATATACCTACATACCGAACCCTAACAGCCAAAAAGACGAAGGCAAGATTTTTTCAAAAATTTAATTTTTTATGCAGGTTGCCCTAGGAACAATTCTGCATAAAAAAAAATTTGGAAAAAAATTTCGCTTACGCCTTTCTTCGGTAAGGGCTCGATTTGTGAAAAAATTCTGTACAACAATTTTTTAAATTTAAAATTTTCAAATAAAAAAATAAAATAAATATTGTTTCTGTTTTTAGTTAACGCCAAACTTGGTATTACAATTTGAAACAAATGGAAAACCCCTTCAAAAATCTAAAAAATATTCCAAATGCTAGCCAGAGTTATAAGCGATCAAAATTTAATTTAAATTCGTCCAGCCGTTTCTGTGTGAGAAGAGGTCTCGCATAGCGTCGGTTTTTCGTTTCAGTTAAATTCGAAATTCAAAAAATAAAATCATAAAGCGCATCTACAGGCCAATGTTTTTAATTTGATTTCTTTTTTGTGAAATTCATTCACAATTCACAAAAAATATTTTTGCGTATTAAATGCATGCATGCGTACATATTTAGATATATATGATTTTTAGAATAAGTGGCAACCCTGATCAAAAATATTTTCAAACTAAAGCTTTTTTAAAACCTTCGTTTGACGCGCGTATTTTAATATATTTTATAATTTATGTATAACTTAATTAATTTCAATTTTGAAAGCAGGTGGCAACTCTTTTCAAAAGTATTTTCCATCTAAAATCTCTTTAAATTTCTTACATTTAATACTGTGTTAGATATTTCAATCAACTAATAAATTAGGTTGAATTTAACTTTTCAACATGTGGCAACCCTAAATGAAGCTCAGAAATAAAGCCTTTCAAACTCGCTTCAATTGATTCCCATCTTTGTGATAATCGGTTTAACTCATTACTTAATTTGAATGTAAATTTGTAAACCATTGGCAACCCTCTTCGAACAAATGAAAAATAGTGTGAAAGTTCAATTCAAAGATTCCTTCAGACTCTATACTACCCATATTTTAATATTTCATATAACTTTCGGATAAACTAATAAGATCCGGCTTTTCAAACATGAGGCTAGCCTCCTCACAATATTTTCATGCTACTACCTTCTTAAACCTCTTTCGTTTGGCATCCATATGGTGACACCTATTTCAATTACCTAATTCCCTTGATTCAAATTAAAATGATTTTTTTTTTAACAGGTGGTAACCCTTTTAGCTGTAGTTAAGAAATAAAACCCGTTTAAAACTTGGATTCGTCATGCACAAATGGTACTAATTGGTTTAACTTTTTAAATATTTTGACTTGAATTATTTAAGAGATGGCAACTCTAGAGTCCAATCGAATGAACGGTTTTTAATTTTCTGTTTCGTTTCCCATGTTAAATAAACATTTCTAAAATAAATGTGGCCTTTTCAAATATTTCGGTTTTTGGAACAATATTTTCTTGCCTCTTTTGCCTCTTTTGCGATTTTTAGTGGATTTTCCTGGCTTTTTAAATATTTTATTTTGCCTTTTTTTAAGGTTTTTTAGTCCTAAAAATCTTTTTCCAGGTTCTAACACTTTGTGTTTGCGTATTTAAATATGGATTGAGCATAATGACTCAAGCACTCAAATATCGTAAAATTCTCATACTAAATAGATTCATTCAACAAAATTTTCTTATCAATCAAAAGCAAGCTTAAATTTTACAATTGGAATCTTTTGATTGAATAGCAGATACTTTGCTAACTCTACTTCCTTCCATTTTTATAGAGTTCGTTGCCTTTTCAACATTTGCTAATCAATTATTATTTTTTCGTTTATAAATAGCATTCTCATCCAATTTTCTGCTGAAGTTTTAAACTTTTTCTCTGCTTGCTTTTGAAACTTTAACATTGTTTACATATGTACATTAGGGCGGGTAATTTTTTTTTTTGACAATGCGCATATAGTTTAGGAGGATTCTGAGGGTGATTCTAAGCAAATTTGCCGAAGAAACCATGGGTCTAAATCAATTTGCAGTTTGCCAAATTGCAAAAATAGGTTTCAAAGAAAATGTGAAAATTTTCACTGCTGCGCCCTCTGGTGGTATTTTAAGAATAAGATAAGTACAGGAATGGATTCCTCATACAAAATTTAAGCACTCCGTTACAGCACTACAGCAAAATGCTAAGAAATCTATTTTCGCAATTTGGCAAACTGCAAATTGATTTTAGACCCACGGTTTCTTCGGAAAATTTGCTTAGAATTACATGTAGAATCTTTCTGTGCTATACTCGCATAGTTGAAAAAGTCTCCCAAATTGACCCGCCCTAATGTACAAAGCTACGTGCTGCAACCGCCTGATGCGAGTATACGATGAAATGTCACGTAACCATATTATGTACATATTTACAATAACATACATACATATGTACATACATATGTGTGCATATTTGAAAGAGTGCGGGATAAAGAATTGGCCCCTGAATTTTTTACTAGTCATTTAACGAATGACTTGGCATATTAACAATACGCTGTTTTTTTATATACTAAAGGAATTAATTTAAACGTAATATTTTATGTACATATGTATATGTTAAATATATTTTAGTTAAAGAGGAAGAAGAGTTGGAGGGGTTGGTGATGCCAATATACTCCCTTTTGGTGGTAGCATAACTTTGTTGACGCTTATCAACTACGACAATGGTTCGTTGTTTCCACACTTTTGAAGAATTGGACAGATAACAATAATAAAAGATTGGCGCTTACGCAATAGCTCTGATCCAGTACTCCTTGAACTTACAGGATTTTACACGAACTCCAACATTCTGTAAATGCGAGCGATTTTTGGAGAGTTGTGTAGAGAATGAAGTTGCAAGATTTTACCTGACCTTTTCCTTCTGTTAAAATCACGAAAAGTGTCAAGCGATCACTGGTTGACGTTTTTACAGGAAAAATGCTTTTTTTGTTGCCATACTTTTTGTTGTTACTCACTTTTTACTCTCACTTCGGAGAGTAATTTTGCTGTTTGACATTCTTACGAAAAGTTTTGGATCAAAGCTAATATGTTACTGTTTGGCCGAACTTCTCCTCCGATTTGTGGTGTGCGCCTTAATATTGTTACAAATATGGTTTTTTTTTGTTTTACGCCAACTCCGAACGCCGATTGTATTTTTATGAGAAGCCGTTTTTTCATGGCAGAAGAGGAGGTTTGCCATTGCCTGCCTAGGGTGATCGCTATTAGAAATTTTTTTATTTTTTTTTTTTTTTTTGTGGTGGGAAACTGAGCTCGAACCCAGGCCCTGCGGATCCGCTGTATTTTGATTCACTGCACTATGTCCATGTCGTTGTAAAGCTTATCGTACCATCGTCTGCGGTCCTCGCCAATGCGTAAAAGTCCGTAAATCTTCCGCACTTGTTGGCAATAGTGATTCTGCGTTGGGAACCAGTTCATCCTTGCAGGCTTAACGAAAAATTTGTATGTGAAACCATCAACAAAGTAGGCTAGCGGCGATGCACGTTGGAGAGTTTGGTTGTACCTCAATAATTTCGCTCGTTTCGCCACTCGCTAAGTATAGGCAAATCGGAAATTAGTTTTTCTTTGCTGGACATCACAAATCTTTAACTTTATTTGTTAAAAAATCATTTAATGTTAAACATTGTATTGAAAATTAATATTTGCATTTGTATTTGTATTTACTATACTTATACATATATTTGTATATTAGGATGGCCCGTACAATATCAAAATCATAAGGGGCACCCCATTATTTGGTTAAACTTACTTACAAAATAAAGATATTCACAAAAAGAAAATAGCAAAATGCGCTACCAGGGTTTGAAAAAATGATTTTTTTTAATAAAAAAAATCGACAAAATTTTGACTTGGATCAGCTTTAACTCAGAGAGTTAATGAATTTATACAACTGTGAATAAGTTTCAATAATGTGTCAAACTTATCAGATTTCAAGTCCAAATTTTGTAGTATTTTTGCGATTTAAATACAATTTTCTCAAACTCT